CTGAATGTAGGCTGGTACTTTCATTGTCTCAATGTCAAATCATCACTTCCAGTCTTGAAATAATGTCTTTTTGGTAAATGAGCTATTTTAAAAGGCGCTCATTGGTGAAAGATTAATTTCTGTGTCAAACCTGGCTCTAAAAAAGAAATTGAAATCTGAAATTGATCAAATCTGTGGTGGTTTCAAGGTAGATCAAAGTGCTCAATAGCCAAGGATTAGCACTAGGGCATGTTCATTATGAAATCATTACAAAGCTTAAACATCCACACTTACAAAAAGTTATGGTGATAATTAGAGTTTTTCAAAAACGGAAAGAGGGTGAATAAGATCTTACACAGGCCCTTGGGGCTGTGGGGCTGGCCAGGCACTTTCTAATCTTGGAAGTTTGCCCTCACTTTTGTGTCCTGCTTTTCTAATGATTAAACCCTCTTCCAGCAGAGGTTCCATTCCAATTACAACCAGCCAGTTTGGGGTTTTTTCTTTTTTAAATAAATTCAATTAAAAATTCATTAGTTCTCCCAAATGCAGATCTTTATTTTTATTCTCCTTTAATGGCATGGATCTATTCACATTCAGCCATCCGTCTCACCCCTGATTAAATTAAGGTCAGTAACCTTTGCTAAAGGCCACATGCGTAACACTCCGTCAAGTCATCAGGCATTCAAGTACCTGGAAAGTGAAGGCTAACGTAGCCTGCTGTTAACAAAAAATAAGCCTAAAACAAAACAAGAGAAGAACAAGGAACAACCCTTGTTTGAGCACCATTTGAATTAAGGGGAGGGGGGAACCCCCCCAATATACTAATTCCTAACATGAGATAAAAGGGAGATTGCATTTGCTACAGAAACAACATAGCTCTGTACAATGTGGTATGGGTCTGAACCATGCCTAGCCTGCTTTAGGAACACTGTTTGGTCATCGTTGTGGATAATGCACAATGTTCTGAATGAAATCTGTATCCAACTTCCAACATTTAGCTAGGAACTGAGTCTCCACACATGGGCAGAAAGATCTATGGCCATTATCAAGATTGGCTGGGAGACGCATTCTTTCCTTGAGAGATGGCTATGCCTTGGTAACATGCTACAAAGAAAAATGCCCCATACCTATCTGAAACCATTTGGAGTTAAGCCTTGCATTGTTACTTGTGTAATTAGTGATCTGTAAACAGAAAGAGCCTTGAATGATATTCAGATCTGGCCCCATTACATTTGTTTAGCAACTTCAAGAAATTGCGCATTAAAAAAATGTCAGTGAGACCATGTCAGATAGCTTAAGCCCCAAAATTTCACCTTCTGAATTAAAAAAATGGATACTGTCCACCGGCTTTTCATTAAAAACCCACCCTACTTTGGCCAAGTAATTTCATTCAATAAAACAAAAAGCAGTACTATTGTCATTGTTTTTGTACGGTGAATTAATAAAGCCCATACTCTCCTCCTGCTGCCTACAGATCCATTAGCTAACTCCCAGAGCTCCAGACATTCCTGCTAAAACATCTATGTGCTTGTCCAGAAAGTAGGACAAAAAACAAAATGGGAGCTGTGCTGATCCAGGCTGATATGTGACCACATTTTCAAAAATACAAGCCTAAAGATAGGCCAAAGATAGATTTTAGCACCTAAAAAGTGGCCTTATTTTCCAAAGTGAGAAAGCCAACAAGAACAGTTGGGTGATCTCCACTTTTGAACTTTAGGCCAACAGAGGTTAGTCTTTTGCTTCGATTTGGCAAAAAAATAAAACACAATAATTAAAAAAAAAAAAAAAAAAAGACTACGGAAA